GGCAACCTGTCCCAGTGCCTCCCCACCCTCTCCGGGAAGAATTTCTTCCTGATATCTAACCTAAACCTCCCCAATTTCAATTTAAACCGGTTACCCCTTGTCCTGTCACTACAGGCCCTTGTAAAAAGTCCCCCCCAGCTTCCTTGTAGCCCCCCCAGGCACTGGAAGGCTGCAATAAGGTCTCCCTGGAGCCTTCTCTTCTCCAGTCTGAACAAGCCCAATTCTTGCAGCCTTTCATCATAGCAGAGGGGCTCCAGCCCTCTGAGCATCTTTGTGGCCTCCTCTGGACTCACTCCAACCAGTCTATATCCTCCCGATGTTGACGAATTACAGGCTGGGGAATTTCAAGGCAGTCATGCCCATCGCCGTTTGCGGCGGCACCAGGGACGAGCTCCTGCCCTCTATGCACAAGGCCGCTTTTCAGGAACCACCTGCCAAATCACCTTCAAAGGATCCACTCTCCAGATGCTACAGCTTCTTCCATTTCAGCCCTCTCCCGTGTAGGGCTGTTCCTTGAAATGGGGCCAAAACAAGAGCCAAGCGAGAGAAAACCGCCGGCTGCCTGGGAAGCTGCCCTCCAGCCCTCCGGACACATGGCGTGGAACAGCCGAAGAGAAGGAGAGTGCCGACTCCAGCCAGTGTCGCTCCAGCCGATGCACTCTAGAGGGGCCGACCGAATGCGTGGAGCACACATGAGCGTTTATTTTAAAAAGAGAGAACTATTTCCAATTTTCCTTGGTGCTCTTCAATTTAAGGAAGTGTGAAACCCAAGATCTTTCTTAACAGAGGCGGGATGGAAAGAAAGGTTTTCAGCCAGACCTCGACTTCAAATTCCGAGTTAAACACGTTTTACCAAGGGATACCATGCCGAGTAGTAAACATGCTGAATGTGAATGGCAGAAAGACAGAAAATGCATGTTTTCAACTCAGACCTGAATGTAAGCAGCAGGAAAGCTTTCCCAAGGATTTGCATAAAAAACCCCACGCAGTTTACTCTTAGAATCATAGAATCATAGAATGGTTAGTGTTGGAAGGGACCTTAAAGATCATCTAGTTCCAACCCCCCTGCCATGGGCAGGGACACCTTCCACTAGCCCAGGTTGCTCAAAGCCACATCCAGCCTGGCCTTGAAGACATCCAGGGATGGGGCATCCACAACATCTCTTCCTGCCCTCTGTCTGGTGGCACCATGATGCTTGTTCTCTTTGGAAAATGCACCAAGTTCCACACACACTCCTGAAATTCCTTGCACCTCCTTTCAATCAGACACAAAATCTTACGATTTCCTTTCTCACACCTATGAATTTAAATAAAAAAATATCCCTCCCAACGCAAAGAAGGAAAACACCTGAAGCTACCCAAGAAAATCCACCAGACCCATTCATAGGAAAGGCGTCCCATTTCTTCGCCGGCTCCTCAGCAGATCCTGTTTGGCTGCTGAAGGGAGCAGTGACTCCATGCGGAGATTTTACCTCCTGCCAAGCCGGTGAAGTCACCCCGAGGTCTACAGATCCTGGCACGGAAACTGGCTCGGGCGCAGGCACAGGAAAGGCAGCAGATGGCAAAGCTAAAAATATTCCCAGAGAACGAGCGCACCCCCTATGCCACCGGATAATAGAGGGGACCGCTGCTGCTTGCAGCTCCCCATCAGCCACCTGCTCAGGCCCTCGGGAGAGGAAAAAGCCCTCCCCGAAGGGCGAGCAGCAGGGAAAAGGCCGTCAAGCTCTACTCAGCCGGCGGCGCGGGCGCACATGGCGCACCAACTCCGCGGGACGGCCTGTAAAATCCACCCCAATTTGCCATCCTGCGAGTACGGAACAGATTTACCGATGGAATTAAGAGGTGGCAGAGCAGAGCGTACTCCCTCCTCACCTGTTTGTCTTAGGGATTTACCTTCTGGAAGGTGACATGCGGGAGCTGTGCAAGACTAAGCCTTGAGGGACCTGCATTTCATAGACAACGACCTTCCGCAGCAGGAAAACCAGGGGATTTAATTCTTCCTAACAGGAAGCAGTTCTTCCTAAATGAAGTAATGAACTTTTCAACCCTTCTGCACATCTCTGAAAGCGAAAACAAAGCTCTAAAAGCAAATAATAGACTCAATTTGAAACCTGCCAAATGGTCTACATCTGGTTATTGCTCAACAGTTCTGGTTGAAACGCTTTATTTCGCTGGAACCGCGTTACAGAACCGACAAAACGTTGGAGATGCTCACAGCTGCACTACCCAATTCCACAGGAATTCCTGGAGAGACGTTTCTCTAGGCTGCCAGTCAGCAACGACAGTACACCCCAGAGGGGTAAACCATCAGAGGACACCGCGGCCGAGGCTTCCCAACGCCCGGATGGCTGATGTGATCAGAGGACACCGAGGCTTACAGCGCAGCTCCACTTCTCCCTGCTCACGGCCAGGTGCCTGGATGAAACGTCACATTCCCGCAGACAGGGAGAAGCATGAGGCGGATATCTCCATGTCCCACTCCGAGAATACCCTTCTCACCCCAATCACCCTCACCTCCAGCAAAGACCTGCCTGTGCTGGAGCATCCAGAAATCCCCTCCTGCCTGGAATAACACTGCCGACAGATATTCGCACAACACCTCACACCGATTTACCCTTCCAGTATCGGAGCAGCACTACCTACAGCAGCCTGCTGATCCCTGTTAGCCAATCCGTGTGGCTATGACCAGCGCAGACCCATGTCCCTGCTGAAGTATCTCGGAACGTTACAGGTCTCAGGTGGACATTTTTCCGATGCAGTCCAAAACATGACTGTACCCACACCTCTGTCCACTCAGGAAACACTGATTTTAAAGGGCTGGCCATGAAAACATCAACAACCCTCAAAGCCAACAGTAGTTAACCAACTGGGAGTTGTTTCTGGGGTTATGCAGGTTACGCTGCAATGCCCGAGAAGTCCACGCGTGGACACAGTGAGCCGGGAAATCTTCTCTTCCTACGGCAGCATAAGCACACAGCTGCCTGCGCTTTAGTCTGTGTAAATACCTGCACGTTACCTTGGGGGGGAACAGGAAAATCAAGGCTCCCCACCAGGTACCGTTCCTGTATCGCACAGGAGAAATGGATTCCCAACACAGTTCAAAAAATAAGTACAGTTTTCTGATAGTTTGGCAAAAACCCCAAGAAAAATCTGGATTCAGGTGAACTGAGCTGTGGTACATTGGCGAGCGTAGGCGCAGCTCTTGGATATTGTTACTCACTGCACGAGAACCAAGATTTTTGTGATTCTACAAGCTCCAAAACCTCACTCGGAGACAATCCTGACATAACCTGGGTTTGCCTGCACGCTTCTCAAGCCAAGAGCCAGCAAGGCCGTGCCAAGCCATCGGTGTACGCCAGTTGCAGCAGGTGGCGGAGGAAGCAGTGGCCGATCACCATCTCCACACTACCATGAGAACATCACCCCCGACACGGTGTTCCTGATTATCTCCGCACAGCCGATGCGAGGTGGGTCACTCGGTGTCAGCTTATGGCTGCTCAGGCTGAGATGGGAATGGAATATGCGCTGACACATCCCGGGAGCACGACGGAGCCTTCCCAGAGCAGGCACACACTGGGAAACTGGCAGGGCCTCAGCGCTGGCCGGGCTGACTTTGCTCCCCGCGCTGCAGCCACAAGACTCCTGCTCCCCAGGCGGTGTGGTACCTGCCTCGCACATCCCCCCATTTCAAAGCTGCCTTTCAGTCTCTCCCCGCATTGTTGTGACACCACAGCAGTGGTGAAGGGAAAACCTGTTGGGTAACTGCAGGGGGTTTCATTTCATTTGGAATACTTGGAAAGAAACCATAAACATTTCAGCATTAAGACCGTTTTCTTGAAATTGCCCAAAGAGCTATTTTGCTCCTCCATGTTTCAATGAGAAAAAGCACTTTCACCAGAGCACTGCTGTTTGCAGAATCAGCTCCTTTCCCCACACTGTCCAGACAAACCGCATACTCAAACATGGGAAAGTAGCTCACTAGGAGTAGTTCCCTAAGGGGCCACTTATTGTACTTATTGTAGCCCCTCATCTACATTCATCACACCTTGCATGTTCCTAATAATTCACAGATCCACTCGAGACTGGGATGAAGTCTTGGCTTACCTTTGGATTAGTTCGCTGCTGCAACCTTCTCTCTTCCCTCTCTCTCTGCAAACGCTCAAATTCTTCCCTGATTTCAGCTGGCGTTCGCTTCCTTTCCACAACCTGCTCAAAAAGAAACAGTAAGTCAAAACCTTATCATGAGGATGTTTGGGGTATGGCCTGGCCGCTGGGACCCGGTACACTAACACCCTGTCCCCCCGGTGCTGCTGTAAGCCACGCTGCACCGGTTCCAGTCCTCAGGGTTTGGAAGCAAACACCTGAGCAGGTCAAATGTCAGGCACGAGAGAAACCCTCATGCCTTGAGAGAAGGGAAAATGGTCTCATTATTTCTATTCCCTTGGCAAAACCAGCGCACACAGACAGCAAACCACAAGGTGCTGCAGCGCAGCTGTTACCAACAGCTATACGTTAACTTCTCTACTGGGTGTAAACAAAAAATTGAAAATGACTGAAAGCTTCTGGCCTGAGGTAAACTCATTAAGTGAGAGTTTTGTCATTTTATGGCATGCTGATTCACATCCGTTAACCCTACACAGCTCGGGGAATAAGGGTTTTAAACAGGTACGGTCTTAGGTATGGACAGAAAAGAGTATTGGATTTGGCTTTTCAAAATAAGATCAACCCTGCCACAGGCAGCTTAAAAATGTCTGTTACACACCGCCACTGCGCCACTTTTCTTGCTGCTAACTGCAAACTTGGTCTGACCTGCCCCACTAGGATTCCGAAGCAAGCGGCGTAGCGCAATCTGCTAAGACGGGCAGAGGCTAGCACGGGGACTGAACAGGACAGCTAGCAATGGACACGTTCTCTTTCAAAGCCCAAAAACCCAAACCAAGAAGAAAAATCACCAAACCCCAAAAGCACAGAAAGAAAAAGTAGTTTCAAACTCAGAGGGCAGCCGATGCTGAAAACGGCTTCAGATGGAAAAGATGACACGAGATGGGACAATAACGATGCGTTTGTCTCAGAGATGCTGCCTGTCAGGGTAATATGCTATCAGGGAACTCTGAACGTCAGGTTCATTGTTCCCTTGTCAGGTGAAAACCCACCACGGCGTTCCAGCAGGCAGAAATAACTACACAGGGATGCCCTCAGACAAATCGGCCTTTGTAACCACCAGCACAGCTCGACACAAGAATGTCAGGTGACGGTGGGTTTAGCCAATTCCACTGGTCACACGGGGCTGCGTTTCTCTCACCTCCCATCCTTCCATTTCCAGTCCTCTCCTCCCATATATGTCATAGATGGCTCGGGTCTGTGGATCACTAAGCACTGCAAGTTAAACCAAGAGAGGACAGAACTCAATGTTTGCTCTTCTCACTCAGAAAACATGAGAGTAAAAAAAAAGAACTGTATAGCTCATCTTTCAGGTTTAAAAGAGTTTCTCTTTAGGCTATGGGACCGGGCATCTAGTTTGCTGCAGTAGTTGTTTAATGCAGACGAGTCCTACCAGCTTCTCACCCATTTGCATTCCAGGTTTCTTATCACACTTCCAAATGCTGAAGCTAATTGTAAGAAATCCCTTCCTTGTGCCTCAGTTATGGTACGTATTACCTACGAGGACACCAGGACTGAAGTAAATGTCAGCTTAATTCTGAATATTTTAAAAGGGCTTTGGCAGCCCTGGATGAGTAAACCCCTTCTAACTGCACTGAGTGCACTGTCCTTATCTCAGTCTTGGAATACGGAAGAACTTGCTGAAAAGCCACGGAGACCACAACCAGGTGACCGAGAACAGAAATTCAGGATGCATCACTTAAAAGTAAAGCATGAAACTGCCTTTCTGTTGGAAGCTTTTTGGTCTTTTGTGGGAGAGTCTTTTCAGAAGCAAAGGAAGTGCTGAAAAGGTCTTTTACAACACATGGGAAGTAAGGCCGAGACTCCACGTCTCGTTCCTTGCAGAATTCACACTGCCTTGCTCCTGGTTTACAGGACAGAAGCAGGAAAAAAACCATAGCTAAGTACAGCAGGTTATTATCACTTTGTAATGGTATCTGTCTTCTTCAGAAAGGAGGAAGACACAGCCTTCCCCATCAAACACCCCTGGAAACAGTTCCTGCAAACCTCCACCCTCCACCGACCTTCATAAGCTTGGTGAACAAGGTTAAAGAGCCGCTCAGCTTGCGTTTTGAGCTCGGGGTCTCTGTGCTTGTCCGGGTGGTACAGCATACACAGGCGGCGGTAGGCAGCTTTCAGCTCTTCCTGAGAGGCCTGTGAAAAGCAGTGAAAGTGAATTAAAGTACAACCGACACCATCAGAAAGAGACCGTTGTCAGGGTCAGCCCTAAAAGGGGAGTCCGGCAGCTGGTACCTCACGTGCCCAAAACCAAGAGCGGACTTTTGTTTCGCTACCCAAGTTAACGAGATGTTCAATTATACACACCAGCGTTTTCCACGCTGTTTATAGCGCAAGTGCCAGCAACAGCTCAGCAGCGTGCACCTCAGGATAGAAAGTTCAGTGGAAAAACAAAACCCAGAGCAAAAACCACCCATCCAAGCAACGCGTGTTCGTCCATCCTTTTGATCAGGTAACTACCGCCTGCTCAGTTCAATACAGAAGAGCAAGGAAAAATAAAGTCACCCAGGACAAAACCACTTCAATCCAGAGACCTACATCAAATCCTACTCGTATTTCAGTCTCAGACCCTCGGGTAGGCACTCTCTCTACAGGCCTGGCAGCTTGCCCTTTCCCCCCTTGTTCCTGCAGCAGTGGCTGGTGAGCACCTCGTCAGATGCGCACTTGCCGAAAGCCACCGGAACGTTGCCGCGAGGCACAGGCGGCGCATGCAGCTTCGCAGAGCAACCGACTGTTGCAGAATGGTGCAGGCACGAATTCCTGGGGTGCGGGAAGCAGGACGCCGCTTCTCCGTGCTGTGAGAAATATGGGGAGTGAAATAACCGAAATGAGGCAATGGATCTGTGCTGGATCCCTCAAGCAAAGGTCATCCCTTGTGTTCTAGGCGGGGGTTGCAACGGGCGAGAACACAACGCCAGCGAGAAGGGCATCCAGACAACGGCTTTCCGTAACGGAATTTGAAGGCACACATTCCATTTACTCTTAACGCTCTTCAGCGGCTGAAGCGTTCACAGATTCCAAGCTTTCACCGTGGCAATAAAGGCCCTAAAAGTTCATTTCTTAGATTAACATCTTTTTTGCCACTGCACGGTAAGGAGAGTCCGGGTTTTCATCACAGAAATGCATTCGTTTGCGGACCGAAGCCAGAAAGCAGATCCCTTTGGGGGACAGCTTAGAATAAATGTTTTCCCTGCACATTTGTACAACGTCACGTTAATGTTTCTAAATGACACAGAAAAAGGGGACCTGCCAAATTCGCTGGCCCCATGACAGCAGAGGTAGCTACAGATTAGCTCTTTCCTTCTGACTACCTTGTGCTTTCTCGGACACCAAATGTAAGCTCAGTTGAGAAGGCAGGGGAACATGCAGGTCTAAAATGGCATTCTTTAATCAAATTAATGATAAATGGTTTAATGTGCTATTGATTATATAATAGAAATGAGCAGTTTCATTTCTCATAAATGCCACGTTCAATAAAATGCTAGATTGGGCCCTTCATCAGCATTGAACAGCTTGGGTCATTGGTTCAATATTTCATGAGCAATAGCCTCTTAGAAACCACTGAAGGAACACTGGCATCGGTTCCAATTGCCATCAAACACGTAAGTCAGGAATAATCACGTGTAAGTTACATTCTTATTACCAAAACTCCAGGCAAAATTAAAAGGCGCCCCATCTCCCTACCACGGGTTCTTAAACGGCTTCATTTAGCACCTCAAACATGCCACCACATTTTTGGAGATTGAAATCTTTACAAGGCTGAAGGCGTGTGTAATTGCGGCTCCCTCACTGGGGCTGCAAATTTCACCAGTTAACCATCAGGTTAAGTTCAGCTGCCACATGACACCAAGTCGTCTCAGCGCACAGAGATGCGAGCTCACTGCATTCCATCGTTCTGCAGGATAGTCCTTCGGAATTTAATTAGCAAGGGGTAATTAACAAAGCAGCTACTGCTCTCAATTGGAATTAGTCCATTGAAGACCACTGTAACTTGCTTTCCAGCTCCCTGCCCTACCAAACCTGAACCTTCTGGTCTCCACGAGGAGCTGAAAGCCTCGCCATGTTACCTCTTCAGCCTTCACCGCTCACCACCAGCGCGGTCGCAACCCTTGTGCGGTCCCTGCCACTTCCTTTCCACCTCTGCACACCGCTGACGCCGGGGAGGGTGAACTACAGAAGCTGTTGAGTGACCTAAAAACGCGGCCCAGCGGCTTTTAACATGGCTGGGGCTTGATTCATGCAGAATTCTTACTAAAAACAGCACTTTGCTGCACGGCGGTAGTTATGACACCGGAGCTACTGTCACATGTTTTTCCTGCAGAAATGCAGATTTCCACCACGGAGACACAGGAAACTGCCCCACCGAGGCCCCAGGCACCGACATTAGCTCCAAAGGTAATTGTATCAAAGCGACCAGACTGCATTGCTTCAAGACTTCCTGAACTCCTATTCACGCAGCAGTCATAGTTCAGCAAGAGCCTTCTCCCGCTCAGATTGTGAACATCTAGGCCGACTTGCTTGCACAGTAAAATGTGGCTTTAAATACACATACACAGAAAGAATACAGATAGTGGGAAGGTGTATTACTATTGTGTTCAATGACCCAAACTACAGCACGGCCCACGTGTCCACGCTCTGGTGATTTGCCTCATTCCCACTGCAAACGAAAAAAGTTACATCCCATGAAGTTCCAAACTGTTCTGGCATAACAAAACCGCACCAATTAATACCAACAGATTGTTGAAAATTAAATTGAGAACTACTGATTCTCCTTTTTTTGACGAAAGAGGTGTTTTGCAAAGAAAAAAAAAAGTGACTGCTTCCAATTTGGAAACGCTTAGGAAGCTCGGTCCATAGAACACTAATTAAAAGAATGAGCCCACGACCAAAGAAATAAGTATATTGTATATAGACGCCGGGAGAAGTCCAAGACCAAGCTGCCGTATGCCCTGAGGAACATCCCACGGGAAGAATTCCCTGCATAAAGCGGCCGCCTCACCCTTGGCTCTCGCGCCCCTCCGCG